AGACCCTTTGGCCAGCCCTGTAAGCTGCTGGGCCCCAGGCTGCTTCTCCCCAAATGTCCCTGGGGGGTGGGCCAGATCACCCTGCCCAGGCTCCTGGGCTGGGCAGGCCCCTGGTGATGGATGTCCCTGCCCTGTCCCCAGCTACTGGACAGCGATCAGGAACTCTACCGCAACTTCCCCCTCACCATCTCCGAGCGGTGGCAGCAGGAGGTGGCAGAGACCGTCTTCGACACCATCAACGCCGAGACAGATCGGCTGGAGACCCGCAAGAAAACCAAAAACAAGCAGCTGGGCCACGAGGAAGGTGAGGGGCCGTGGCTGCCGTGGACGCCCACTGCCCACTGTAGAGATGGGAAACAGGCTGGGGTTTCAGGAACCCAGCCAAGGTCACGGCCAGAGAGCGGCCTTCCAACCCGGGCGGGGCCTCTCTCACTCTCTTGCGGCAGACTATGCCCTGGGCAAGGACTGCATCATGCACGGCTACATGTCCAAGATGGGCAACCCCTTCCTGACCCAGTGGCAGCGGCGGTACTTCTACCTGTTCCCCAACCGGCTGGAGTGGCGGGGCGAGGGCGAGGCCCCGGTAAGGATTGGGCCTGGGGGCGTGGGGCCAGGGCGGGCGGGCCAGTCCTGTTCCCTCACTGCCCTGCCTGTCCCTCCCTGCCCTGCAGCAGAGCCTGCTGACCATGGAGGAGATCCAGTCGGTGGAGGAGACGCAGATCAAGGAGCGAAAGTGCCTCCTTCTCAAGATCCGTGGTGGTAAACAGTTCGTTCTGCAGTGCGATGTGAGTGGGGGCGTGGGGGCCTGGTTGGTGGGGGTGGTGTGGGGACAGAGTGGCCTTTGGTCACCCCCGCCCCACCTGATGGACCCCTGGGCATATGCAGAGTGACCCGGAGCTGGTGCAGTGGAAGAAGGAGCTGCGTGATGCCTACCGTGAGGCCCAGCAGCTGGTACAGCGGGTGCCCAAGATGAAGAACAAGGCCCGCTCACCCGTGGTGGAGCTGAGCAAGGTGCCACTGGTCCAGCGCGGCAGTGCCAACGGCCTCTGACCCCCCACCCACCCGCCTTTTATAAACCTCTAATTTATTTTGTCGAATTTTTATTATTTGTTTTCCCGCAAAGCGGAAAAGGTTTTATTTTGTAATTATTGTGATTTCCTGTGGCCCCAGCCCCCAGGGAGGGGCCCGCTTGCCTTGGCTCCTGCTGCCACCAACCCAGCCACTGTCCAGCCACCCTCAGCCCTGATGCCCCAGGGGTTGCCCGCTCCCATTGTCTTCCTGTGGGGGAGGGGAGCAGCAGCCCAGCAGTCCTCTGCCCCTTCCTGGGGATAGTGCCACCTCAGGCTCTGTGGGCTGTGCTCTGTGCCCATGGCACAGCCGGGTGGCTCAGCATCCTCCACCCCAGGGGAGGTCGTGACGCGGGAATACTACCTGAATTTTCCACCTCGGCCCCTCCTGCGACAGGGACAGAGCTCTGCACTGTCCTGCCTCCAGCCAGTTGGTGGAGGAGGAGCCATTGTCTCCCTCACTCCAGGGCTGCCCACAGTGACTCGGGCTCCTGCATCTCCATTCAGGAAGAGTCCCTGCATCACTGGCTGCCTCCATGCCCACCTTCCCTGGACACTGGGGCTCGGCCAGGAGGGTGGTGTGGGCGGCAGGTGCTGCTGTGGTCACTGCAGCCCGTTCCTCCTCTCATCCCAAGCCCCTGGGCTCCAGGACCACAGAAAGGCAACCACGGGTTGTGCCATACTGGGCTAGCCTGGCCCTGAGGTCCCCCTGAGCCCGGACTGGGTGAGGCCTTGTGCACCCAGGACCACAGGGGACAGCCTGGGTCGGCTGGGCAGCCCGGCGAGGAGGGCCAGTCGGGCCAGCCCTCGCCCCCAGGCCGGTCAGTGTGTCCCCTGGGCTCTCTGGACCCCAGCTCCATGTCCCGTCAGTGCCACTCCCCTCAGGGCACCACCTTGCCCGCCGCATGCCCCCTCGTGCCAGTCGCTGCCGTGTGTGGGGTCGCGCCTTCTCCCCTAGGGGCTGGGTTGGCTCACCCGCCCCGCCCATCTGCTCACTCCCTGGGGCATTTCTTTGCCGATTTTTGAATGTGATTTTAAAGTGGAAAAATGAGACTATGCGTTTTTATAAAAAAATGGTGCCTGACTTAGGCTGTGTCAGACTCTTTTGTGCCCAGTAACCATTTTCAGCCACCATTGGGCTGGGGCATGAGGGGAGAGGGTCTTGGTGCCAGGTTCCCTCCACCACGATGGCAGGCATCCGGGGCCAGTTCGCCCAGGCCTGAGCCCTCTCCAGGACGGGGCAGGGGGCTCCCCCCGCCCGCCCCGGCGGAGTAGAGGGGTCTTCTGCACAGGGAAGCAGGAGGTACGTGCATGTCGGTGCTTGGTGTCACGTTTGGACTGACTGCCACCCCAGCTCACCAGGCACAGTGCTAAGGACACCGTCATGGAGAGACAAGCACCGTGCCCTCAGGGCCACAGTGGGCCTCCGGGCCCTTGGCCCTCTCTGGCTTTGGCCTCCCCTCTGGCCTTGTGCTGCACCCCTAACAGCAGTCTGTGAAGCTTGAGGGATCCCCAGCATGAGGCCTCTCATCTACCTAGAGACTAGTCAACTTTTTTTTTTCCTGGGTCCTTGACTACAGGCCCCCATGGGTGATATCTGTTGCTGCCCACCCAATGTAGGGCTCTGCTGGGCAAGGCTGGGGGTCACACAACCAAAGCACAGCCTGACAGGTGGCGAAGGAAGGTTGCTGGGGATCGAGGCTAAGGAGTCTTCGAAAAAGCCTTTGAACTGAGCCTCCAGTATTGGGGTGGGGAGGTGGGGGGATGTTTCTGATGCAGGGAAGGGCCAGGCAGTCGGGAGTGGCTCCAGTTGGCAGGAGCATTGTGGGAAAGAGCCAGGCCTGGGAGGCTCTGAATGCCAGGCTCAACCTGGCCCAGAGCCCGGCACGCACTTAGTGACTACAAAATGAAGTTGGGAATGGACGTGGGGTGTGAACTTGGATAGGCTCTGGACAGGGGCTGGGGTGATGGGAACTGGCTGGGGCTTACCACGTGCAGGACGAGTGGAGGGAGGCGGACAGAAGGCAGGGAGATAGCTTAGGGGCCGCTGCACTCTCCAGGGGGGGAGATGTCATAATGCAGTGGTGGAGGTCCGACCAGGAAGGGATGCAGAAGCCAGATGGTAAGAACACAGGTCACCAGGAATGGGCAGGGCTTGGGGGTGAGAGAGAAGTGGGAGTCTAAGATGGTACCTGGAGAGGTCCATGGTGCCATTCAGAGTCCTGACAGTGGGGGAGCACAGCTGGCCTGAAGGGAAGAGGGTGAATGTGGCCAGATCTGGTTTCAAACATGATGGGACAGCCTGGGACACAGGGCACAGGGATGTCCCGGGGGAGCTGAAATGCAGTTGTGAAAGTGGCAGCGGGGTAACAGTGGGAACAGACAAGACTTCAGCCAGGGAGAAGCTTGATGTGGAGATGGGGGAGGGACAGGAGAGGCCCTGGGAAAGGGAATCAGGAATCAGGGGCCAGTGGGGAGTTGTGTTTAGGACCGCAGAAAGTAGAGGCTGGGCCTGAGAAGGTCCTGTTACATGGGGGTGGGGGGTGGGGTGAAGAGGGCTTGGGGAAGGGGGTAGCCCCTTTTAAGAAAGGTGGCAGCTAAGGAGGGCTGTTAGACCCAAGGACATTACAATGACCTGGTAACACCACAGGATGGGTGGCAAGGTGATCCCAGATCACACAGGTGCCTCTTGGTCAAGTGAGAGGGCAGAGTGTAGTGGCAACCAGCCTCCCAGCTCAGAGACTCAGCTCAAACTGTCTGGTCATTTTACTAACAGGGAGACAGACCAGAGGGTCAGCCATGGTCAAGCCTGGCGGCTGTCTCATGACCCCAAACCAGGACCAGACCCCAGGCTAAGGCCAGGGTAACAACGCCTGGCTCAGCCAGGAGGCCTGCACCTTGGTTCCGTGTGGGTGGCGGGGCCGGCTGATTTGGAAACTCTCCTTCCCCTCCTGACACTGCAGCAAAGGGCAGCCTCTGCAGAAGGAACCCACGCGTGGGTGAACGCCGTTCGCGGTGGACAGTCCTCACCGGGAGAGGTCTGGAGCTCCCAGGCCTGCGCTCTCCACTCCCCAGCACTCCTGTCCCTGACTCCAGAGCCCTGGGTGTCGTCTCCCCGCATGGCCGGGCCCAGTCCTGGTGCGGCCACCACCAGACACGGGCCCAGGTTCTGGGGAGGGTGTTTCACGCTAAGCTGGCCATCAGGAGCGCCTCAAGGTGATCGGGAGATGGGGAGGGGAGCCACCTCACCCACACAGACAAGTACAGTCGGTTCGCGTGATGTACCGGGGTACGGAGAGGGCGGGGCCTAGGGTGGGAAGCCGGGGATAGGAGGTGGAGGGGTCTTGGGGTGGGACAGGCTCAGCCTGAGAGACGCTGAGCTTTGGGGCAGCAGAACCGCGGCCCGCTGCGCGCGCACGTCCCGGGCCCAAGTCCCCGCCCCTCGCCGAGCCCCACCCCCGGACCCCATCCTCCCGTGGGACCCTCAAGGCGGGGGTCTGCGCCGGGCCTGGGGCGCCCTCTACAGGCCGCGCCCGGAGCTGCAGGCAGGCCCCGCCTCCCGGACCGCCCTCCGCAGCCCCTGGTTGCGCCGAGGCCCGGTGGAGACCAGGCTCGGCTCACCCCGGCGAGGGCGCTTGGCGCGGCTGCGGGGCCGCGGCCCTGGCCAGCCTTCCGCGCGCGCGGCCCGGCTGCGGTTGCCATGGCTGCAGGCGGCGAGGGGGCGCGCGGCCCGACGCCCCGCCCCACCGCGGCTCAGGCCCGCCCTCCTGGCCCGCCCTCCCCGCCTGCGCCGCTGCCGCGGAGGTGCGGGGTTCGGGGGCTGCGGGAGGTGTAGCCGGGCCGCGGCGAGGACGCGAGGCGAGGGGGCCGCGCCAGGCCTGAAGCCGAGGCAGGGCCGGACCGCCCTCGCCACGCCCGCCAGCCCGCCCGGGATGCGGAGCTGAGGCCCAGCATGGCCGGCCCGGGCCCCACCTTCCCGTTGCACCGGCTCGTCTGGGCGAACCGGCACCGCGAACTGGAGGCCGCGCTGCACAGCCGCCAGGTGAGGCCCGCCGGGCGCCCGGGCCGTCCTCCGGCCACCCCATCCAAAGCCGTGACCTCCATCCTGGAAGCCTCCTGTCCCTGTTCAGCGCCGCAGCCGCTTCCCCGCTCGCCCTCCCTGGCCCGCTCGAAGCCTAGGTGACCTGCACCTCTCGCTGGAGTCCGGCCTCGGCTCCCAGCGCTGGGCCTCGCCCGGCTCCCCGCTTCCCACTGCATCCAGCCCTGACCTCTCGCCGCACCACCCCTGAGCCGGGCAGAGAACGAGCAGCCCGGTCCTGGTCCCCAGGCCGGTCCAAACTCTGACAGCCGCAGCTCCACCTCTACCTGACCAGGCCCCGCCACTGGGCCCACAGCTCTGTTCCTGGCAAAGCACAGGGGACTTGGGCAGGCCTTCCCACCTGCCCTTTCTCCATCCCTGCAGGGACAACCGCGCTCCCTCTGCCATTTCCACCGCCCATCTGCCTTATTTCCCCTAGTGATTCCCAACTCTGTTCAGCCCTGTGGTTTTCTTACTGCTGCCTCTCTTACCTACCCTGTGCTGAGTGTCCCCTCTCCCCCAGCACGACATTGAACAGGAGGACCCCCGGGGGCGCACCCCCCTAGAGCTGGCTGTTTCCCTGGGGAACCTGGAGTCTGTGAGAGTTCTCCTTCGACACAATGCCAACGTGGGCAAAGAGAGCTGTCAGGGCTGGGCAGGTACTGTAGAGGGCAGAGGGGCTCCCTTGAGGGTGACAGCAGGGTTGGTGAGTGGCCAGGCCTGGGGCCATCAAGAAAGCACCCCTCAGCAGCTTGGTGCCCCCAGTCCTACAGGAGGCGGTCAGCACTGGGGACCCTGAGATGGTGCAGCTGGTGCTCCAGTATCGAGACTACCAGAGGGCCACAAAGAGGCTGGCTGGCATTCCGGAATTGCTCAACAAACTCCGCCAGGTACCACGGGGCTCAGAGGTGTGGCCGTAAGGGACAGAGTACCATGGCAGAGGACTGTGACAGATAGCATGGGGTCACCCGATCAAGCGTGCCTGGCCTTGGAGCAGCTTGTGCAGCATGCTTTCCCAACACTGTCATGAAGCCCTCTCTTGACCCCAGCCTAGGATCACATGGACAAGGGTGGGCCCTCCGGGAGGAGGGTCTCCCGAAGGGCCCGCATTGAGGGTCTCCCAGTGCCAGAAGTCTCCACAGAGCTTTAGAGACCGTGGGCTTCCTGGTGAACGCAGACTTTCTGGAGGGAGGAGTTCATCCAACTCTACAGATGTGCCCTGCACTCCTGGAATACCTGTCCACCCTTCTCAAAGCACACAGTGTGGGAGGGGAAGCTGGGAGAGCATGCTACTCCCGCCGCCACCCCAGGGGCAGGCGCAGAGGGGGTCCTTGTACCCCCTTTACAGATGAGGATTCTGGGACCCAGAGCAGGCAGGAGCTCCCTCAGGGCCCCCAGCAGGCCAGCATCCAGGTCGAGACTGGACCCTAGGCCTCCAGATGCGTGTAGCCTGATACTCGGAGGCCTTTTTAGGACACCAGTTGGTCCACCCTTTCCTGGGCGGGGTTTGGTTGTGGTGGGGGCATAGCAGGGTCAGGCAGTGCATCAGGACTTGCCAAAGGGCTGGGCTCCCGAAGGGGTCTGCAGACAAGGAGCTGGCCGGGCCCACTGGCTGCCAGGATTAGGCAGGGCCCTGACAGGTGCTCTGATCTGTCTCAGGCCCCTGATTTCTACGTGGAGATGAAGTGGGAGTTTACCAGCTGGGGTGAGTGGGGAACTGCTCGGCTCCCAGGGAACTGGGGTGGTATCTTTGGTACCCTGGTAACCTCTTAGCCCCCCTGCAGTGCCCCTCGTGTCCAAGATGTGCCCGAGTGATGTGTACCGTGTATGGAAGCGGGGTGAGAGCCTACGGGTGGACACCAGTCTTCTGGGCTTTGAGCACATGACCTGGCAGCGTGGCCGGAGGAGCTTCATCTTCAAGGGCCAGGGTGAGTTCTGGGAGGCCCACTCCGGGCTCCAGAGACTCTCCTGTGGCTTGTGAAGGCAGTGCCGTCCGCTCTTTCCACTCTCCAGATGTGCGAATGGAGGTTGGGGGGGAGGGGACCCGGGGACCCAGGGACAGAGGCTGCGCCCACTTAGCAGCAGGTGGCTGAGGGTACCATGATGGTTTCCCACCCACTGCCTGGGGTCTAGCACTGATTTTCCCCCCTCTTGCACCCCTCTGGCTGGCAGAGGCAGGAGCCCTGGTGATGGAAGTGGACCATGACCGGCAGGTGGTGCACACGGAGACGCTGGGGCTCACCCTGCACGAGCCGGAAGCACTGCTGGCCGCCATGCGGCCCAGCGAGGAGCATGTGGCCAGTCGTCTCACCTCTCCTATCGTCTCCACCCACCTGGACACCCGGAATGTGGCTTTTGAGAGGTTAGTTGGGGCCTGGCCACACTGCAGGTGGTGCCCTGGCTGCTCCTGGTGCAGGCCTCTGGGAGGCTGAGCTCCTTGCGGAGGCTGCTCAGATGGGGGAGGGGCTCACTGCAGGCCAGCTCAGCGGCCCCCGGGACTGGCCACCTGTGCACCCTGTGGCGACCTTCGAGCCTGTCTACACTGGCAGCTGGCTTCCTGGGGAAGAGGCTAGGTTCCCAGTTTCTGGACTCCTGACCTTGCATGTTTTCCCATAAAAATAAGGACTTAGGCCGCGGTTTAGGACATGTCTGCACCACAGTTGGCCCCTCAGTAGTATCGCTGTGTTTGGGCCAGAGTAGTCCTTTGTGGGCAGCCTAGGAGTCTGACCCATTGGGCCAGAGTGTTATTTCTGTGCCTATCTATGCTCCAATTCTGACAAGACTTCAGAAACACTTATAAGAAATACCAGTTTTATTGAGATATCATTTTCAGTACCATCCAGTCTACCTATTTCAAGTGTACAGTTCACAGATATGCAACCATCACCACAGTCAATTTTAGGACATTTCATCACCTCAGAAAGAAACCCTGTATCCTTTACCTATCAACTCCCATCCCCTAGGCCCTCCCCCATCCCTACCGATCTACTTTCTGACTCTATAGATTTGCCTCCCATCCTATGTACTTTGAAGCACAAAGGTTTTTTTGGTTTGTTTGTTTGTTTTAAAGAATAGTTTATTGGTTTTTAAAGAGAAAGGAAGGGAGAAAAACATCGATGTGAGAGAGCAACATCAACCGGTTGCCTCCTGTACAACCCCCACTGGGGATCGAGCCTGCAACATGGGCATGTGCCCTGACTGGGAGTCGAACCTGCAACCCTTTGGTGCACAGGGTGATGCCCAACCGAGCCACAGCAGACAGGGTGAAGTACAAAAGTTTTTAATGTTTATGAAGTTCAGTTTATCTATTTTTGTCGTCATTGCCTGTACTTTCAGTTTCATAGCAAACAATACTTTGCCAAATCCAACCAAAGTCATGAAGATTTTCCCCTATGTTTTCTTTTGTGAGTTTTAGTTTTTGCTCTTACCTTTCAGTCTTTGATCCATTTTGAGTTGATGTTTATATATGGTGGAAGGTAAGGGTTCAACTCCATTCTTTTGCCTGTGACTATTCAGTTGTCCCAGCACGATTTTTTAAAAGGACTGTTATTTTCCCCATTGAATGGTCATGATACCCATGGAACATCAGCTGAGCATAGATGTATGTGTTGATTTCTGGACTCTCACGTCTATCCCATCCATCTATATGTCTGCTTTGTTCCAGTACCACACCATCTTAGTTGGTATTGCTTTGTAGTAAGTTTTGAAATCGGAAAGTGTGAGTCTTCTAACTTTGTTCTTCTTTCTCAGGATTATTTTGGGTATTCTGATTCCCTTGCAATTTCATATGAATTCCCAATTCAGCTTCTCAGTTTCTACAAAGAAGTCAGGTGGGGTTCAGAGTCGAATTTTCAACCATGGTTTCCCAACTGCAGTTGGTTGACTCCATGGATGCAAAGGGCTGACTATAATTAAGTTTGAGGGGGGTCAGAAGTTATAGAGAGTTTCAGTTGCATGGGCGTCAATACCACTACCCCCCCCCCCATTGTTCGAGGAGCAATTGTATACATTTTACACTTCTTTTTCTTTCTTTTCTTTTTTTTTACCCTCACCTGAGGACATTTTTCCATTTTTTGTTCAGGTAGAGTGGAAGGGAGAGAGAGAAACATCCACGTGAAAGGGATACATCGAGTGGCTGCCATCCGCATGACCCAACCAGGGCCGGGGACAAACTGTAACCGAGGTACATGCCCTTAGTGGGAACCGAACCCGGGTCTCTCTGGACCGCAGGCCGACGCTCTAACCGCTGAGCAAAACCGGCCAGGGCCACGCTTCTTTTGATAAATTTATTTTAAGTGTTTTATTCTTTTTGATGCTATTATAAATGAAATTGTTTTCTTTATTGTATTTTTGAATTGTTCATTGCAAATTTATAAAAATGCATTTGATTTTTGTGTTTGATCTGATATCCTGCAATATTGTTAATCTCAAAAAACTCATTTTTTTAGTTTTAATGGATTTTTAGTGGATTACTTATGATAGTTATATGTAAGAGTATGTCATCCTTTAATAGAGATAGTATTCTTTCTTTCTAATCTGGATTTTTTAAATTTCTTTTTCTTGTCTAACTGCTTTGGCTAGAATTGCCAGTAAAATGTTGAATAAAAGTGGCAGGCACATGCCTGGCCGCTGTGACTCCGTGATTGAGCATTGACCCTGCACCAAGAGGTCACTGGTTTGATTTCCGGTCAGGGCACATGCCCAGGTTGTGGGCCAAACCCCCAGTGGGAGGAGGCATGCAGGAGGCGGCCAATTGGTGTTCTCATTGATGTTTCTCGCTCCCTCTCCCTTTCTCTCTTTCTAAAAATAAATTAATAAATTATAAAAAAAGAAGAAGTGGCAGGCACAGACATCTTTGTCTTATTTCTCACTTTAGGGGGAAAGTATTCAATCTTTTACCATTGAGTGTGGTGTTAGTTGTGGGTGCACTTCATCAGGTTGAGGAAGTTTACTTCTATCCCTACTTTGTTAAGCGTTTTTATCATGAAAGGGTTTGAATTTTGTCAGATGCTCTTTTCTGTCTATTCATATGATCATGTGACTTTAAAAATTCTACTGATAAATGTTACATCAATTGATTTTCAGGTGTTGAATCAACCTTGTATTTCTGGGATAAATTCCACTTAGTCATGGTGTATAATTGTTTTCATACGTTGCTAGATTTGGTTGACTAGTGTTTTGTTGTTGTTGTTGTTTTTATCCTCACCCAAGGACAATTTTCCATTTTTTATTCAGATAGAGTGGGAGGGAGGGAGAGAGAGAGAAATATCAATGTGAAAGGGACACATAGAGTGGTCACCACCCGCACGACCCAACCAGGGCCGGGGACAAACCGCAACCGAGGTACATGCCCTTAGCGGGAACCGAACCCGGGTCTCTCCAGACCGCAGGCCGACACTCTAACTACTGAGCCAAACTGGCCAGGATTGTAGTTTTCTTTTCTTTGTCTGGTTTTAGTATCTGGACAATGCCTCATAGGATGAGTTAGGCAGTATTATCTCCTTGTCTATTTTTTGCAAGAGTTTGTGAATAATTGGTATTAATTCTTTAAATGTTTGGTGGGATTTATTGGTGAAGCCATCTGGGACTGGGCTTTTCTTTGTGAGTAGTTATTGTATTACCAATTCAATCTCTTTACTTGTTGCAAGTCTGTTAGATTATTTCTTCTTGAGTTTGTTTTGATAGTTTTTGTCCTTTTAGGATTTGTCCATTTCATCTAAAATATAATTTGTTTGGGAACAATTGTTCATTATATTATTTTATAATCCTTTTTATTTCTGTAATGTTAGTAGCCATGCCCCTCTTTTTTTTTTAATGTTTTTTTTCTTTCTTTTATTGATTTTAGAGAGAGAAGAAAGAGAGGGAGAGAGAGATAGAAACATCAATGAGAGAGAACATCGATTGGCCACCTCCTGCATGCCCCCCACTGGGGATTGGGCCCACAACCTGGGCATGTGCCCTCACCGGGAATCAAACCAGCGACCTCTTGGTGCAGGGTTGATGCTCAACCACTGAGCCACACTGGCCGGGCTTAATATGTTTTTATTGATTTTTTTAGAGAGAGAGATAGAAACATCCACGTGAGAGAGATACATCGGTCGGCTGCCTCCTGCATGCCCCCCACTGGGGATCAAGCCCGACACCTGGGCATGTGCCCTGACTGGAAATTGAACCAGGACCTCTTGGGATAATGCTCAGTCCACGGAGCCACACTGTCCAGGCAGCAATGGCCCCTCTTTTATTTCTGATTTTAGTCATTTGAGTCTCGTCTCTTTCCTTAGCCAATCTAGCTAAAAGTGTGTCGATTTTGTTGATCTTTTCAAAGAACTAGCTTTTGGTTTAATTGATTTTCTTTATTGTTTTTCTAATCTGTATTTCATTAATTTTCACTCTAATGTTTATTATTTCCTTCCTTATGTTTGTTGTGGGTTTAGTATGCGCTTTTCCCAGTATCGTAATATGGAACATTAGGTTATTGATTTGAGGTTTCTTCTTTCTTAATGTAGTCATTTACAGCTATGAGTTTTCTTCTAAGCAACACTTTAGCTGGGTCCCCTAAGTTTTGATCTGTTGTTCTCATTTCCATTCATCTCAAAGTGTTTTCTGATTTCCCTCTTGATTTAATTATTTGATCCTTTGGTTATTTAGGAGTACGTTATTTGTTTTCCACGTATTTGTGAGTTTCCAAATCTTTTTCTGTTACTAAATTCTAGTTTTATTTTATTGTGATTAGAGAACACACATTGTGTGATTTCTCTCCTTTAAATTTTACTGAGGCTTCTTTTATGGCCTCGCATATGGTTTATCCTGAAGAATGTTCCGTGTGCACTTGAGAAGAATGTGTATTCTGTCGTTGTTGGGTGGAGTGTTCTAAGGAAGTCTAACTAAGTCTAGTTTTTTTTTTTTATCACCTAAGGATGTTTTTCCACTGATTTTCAGACAGAGTGGGAGAGACGGAGGGAAGGAGAGAGAGAGAAAGATCGGTGTGAGAGAGACACATCGATTGGTTGCCTCCCACACGACCCCAACCAGTGCCAGGGATTGAACCGAAACCAAGGTACATGCCCTTGACCGGAATCAAACCCAGCGACTCTTTGGTCCTCATGCTGTAGCTCTAATTGCTGAGCCCAACTGGCTAGGGTGAATCAGACATACTTTTATTTTTAACTTTTTATTATGAAAAACTTCAAATATATATATATGAAAGAAGAGAGAATAGCATGATAGACTCATTACAGAGTCAACATTTGTCAACACTATGCCAATCTTGTTGAATCTACCCTTCCTCACCTGTCTTCTTCTTCTCTTCCCCTGGTCTGTTCTAAAGCACGTCTGGGTGGTTTATCACTTCAACAGCAAACGCTTCTGGACGTGCCTCTCACGTATAAGGCTGTTTATAAACCCAGCCCAACACCATGCTCGTCCTAACAGAACCAGCAATAACCCCTCATACCTCTAGTCCCAGTCCTCATCCACTTGTCTCCGCTCCAGGCATCTTCAGGGTCTCTGTGTGTTTCATGGCGAGAAGGCTAACCGGAGGGGGTCTTTGGAAGGGAAGGCTTTGGCCAGGGTTTGGGGGTGCAGGTCCTCATGAACTCCTGTTTGGTCTGTTTCAGGAACAAATGTGGTATCTGGGGCTGGCGGTCTGAGAAGATGGAAACTGTTAGCGGCTACGAGGCCAAGGCAGGAGAGGCTCCTGGTGGGGGCTGGGGTAGGAGACAATCCCGGGAACTCCGCTCCTTCTCCACATCCACCCACGTGGAGGGAGAGACAGAGGGGCCTGTGGGCTCTGGAAGCCCTGCGTGGCCTTGGGGATTCCGTGGAGCCCAAGCATCCAGCCCCTCCTGAGCACGTGGGGATCACCCACAGCATGGACCCCCTCCCAAGTTCCCGAGATGGAACCAGGACCATTTTCCCCTCATTAGTGTCTTCCCGGGGTTTAGACACTGCCATCTCCTCCACTGTGGGGAGCGAGATCTCAGCTGTCCCTGGGGACGGGAGGACTTTGGTCCTGTGCTGGTGAGGCTGAGTGTGGAGAACAGGCTCTGAGCCCCCAGCTCCCCCTGTACCCCCAGGTGTACAGTGCCACCAATGTGGAGCTGGTGACACGCACACGCACGGAGCACCTCTCTGATCAGGACAAGTCGAGGAGCAAAGGTAAACCCAGGTGCGCCTGCTGCTGCCCAGTCACACCATGTGGTGGGGTCACCCTGGTCTGGGGGGCCAGAGTATCTGGGACAAGCTGGGGGGTCACCCCCTTCCTATCTCCCACTTGACAGGAGGCTCCCAGGGTGGGTATAGGGAGGGGGCAGTGTGAGGGCAGTGGCCCAAAGCCCCTCATGGGCTCCTGCCCTCTCCTCAGGGGGGAAGACTCCGCTCCAGTCCTTCCTGGGGATGGCCCAGCAGCACTCCTCCCGCAACGGGGTGAGCCGGGGCTGGGGGCAGGGCTGGGGGCTGCGGGCCGGGCCGGCAGGTGCTGTCCTGAGCGCTAAGCAGGGTCCTGGGGCCCACCCAGGGTCCTGTGCAGCAGGCAGCCAGCCCCACCAACCCCACAGCCATTTCCCCCGACGAATACTTTGACCCCAACTTCAGCCTGGAGTCACGGAACATCGGCCGCCCCATTGAGATGTCCAGCAAAGTACAGAGGTGAGGTCTTGGGGCTACTTGGGGACTTCCCTCTATGACAGGGACCCTGCCTAGTTCTCCTGAGCTCTGACAGACTCTTGTCACACTTGGGTCTACCAGAGTAGGGGACCCACTCACTTAGCTGACTTCCCTCTAGACTCCACTCCTTGGGGACAGGAGCCAGGTCTGTCTTATCCATGGTCCTCGGCACCGAGCTTGGGGCTTGGACCAGAGGATGGTCACTCTGGTGAATGAGCAAATGAATGGGCGGCAACACCACCCATGTACGGTTTTCCGTTCGATTGAATGAGCACTGGCTGGGGTCAGCGCGGAGCAGAGCGGGAAGGGCCCGCGGCTCTGCCACCTCCTGGCTTTGTTGCCTGAGGAACTGTCTTCCCCTCCGAGTCTGGTTTCCTCAGTAGATGAGAGGTCACACTTGGCCAGCTGCTCACGAGGGTCTGATGAGCCGTGACATAGAGCTTATGATGGGCCCAGCACTGTCCCAGGCACCTCTCTCGGCCACCAGTGCATTCGAACCACGGCAGTCCTGAGCTACCGCTGTGCTGGACCCAAAGGCACTGTGACGTGTGAGGCGCTGGCCAGCGGAGGGCTGCGGAGGAGGTCGGGGCGGCAGACGAGACCCAGCCTTGTCCTCATGTAGACGAGTTGACCTGGCACAGACTACCATAGGCTCCAGCCTGGGCCCAGCGTCTGGGGCAGCTCAGGCCACAGGGCCCGATGGTCACCAGCTCCTGGAAAAAGCCGGCAGGGGCAACCGAGCCGAGAAGAGGGTACCCCAGGCAGAGGGCAGGAGTAAAGGCAGGTGTCCGGAGTGGGAGGGCTTCAGCAGAGGGGCCACCAGAGGTTCCTTGACCCACGTCCTGCGGTTGGCTGGGCAGATTCAAAGCAACACTGTGGCTGAGCGAGGAGCACCCGCTTTCCCTGGGTAACCAGGTGACGCCCATCATTGACCTGATGGCCATCAGCAATGCTCACTTTGCCAAGCTGCGTGACTTCATCACCCTTCGCCTCCCACCCGGCTTCCCAGTCAAGATTGGTGAGAGGGAGGATGGGCCTCAGGCAGCTCCAGGGGGTGGGGTGGACGTGGCTGCGGGGCCAGCACAGGTGGGTCTGTGGCCACAGTGGCTCAGGCTTGGCTGTCTCCTCACAGAGATTCCCCTTTTCCATGTGCTCAATGCCCGCATCACCTTCGGCAACCTGTGTGGCTGTGACGAGCCCCTGAGCTCGGTGTGGGTGCCGGCCCCCGGCTCTGCTGTCGCAGCTTCAGGTACTACTGTGGAGGGAGGGGCCGCACGGCTCACTGGCGTCTGAGTCCTGGGCGCTGAGCGTGGTCCTTCTGCCACCCCAGGGAGCCCTTTCCCATGCGAGGTGGACCCCACTGTGTTCGAGGTGCCTGAGGGGTACAGCGTGCTGGGGGCAGAGCGCGAGCCCCCCCGCGACGAGGACGACGACCTGCTGCAGTTCGCCATCCAGCAGAGCCTGCTTGAGGCTGGCACAGAGGCGGAGCAGGTGGGGTGCGGGCAGGGCTGGGCCCTGGGCAGGGGCACGGGTGGCAGGGGTGACAGCTCTGGGCTCTGGCTGCTGCAGGTGACTGTCTGGGAAGCCCTGACCAACACGCGGCCTGGTGCCCACCGTCCTGCCCAAGCCACGGCATATGCGGAGCAGCTTCAGCTGGAGCGGTGAGGTCCTCTAGGACCTACGAGACCCATGTCTCAGCCCTGCCCTGCCTCAGGGACCTGCCAGCCAGGACGTGTTGGCTGATGGGGGTGGGTAGCAGGGAGGTGCTGGTCCCAGGACCCCATGCCCTTGTCAAGGTCACCTTCCATCAGCACCACTGCTCACCACCAAAGGCAGCATGTGGGATGGGAAGACAGGGCCCCACTGTGTCTGTTCTTTCTGGGGTCCCAGGTCCCAGCTACCCTGTCCTTATCCTTGTCCTTCAAAGCCATGTTCCAGCCCTTGCCCCCCCCCCCCAGCCTTGGTGCTCACCAGTCTGCTCTCCCTCTCGCACCTTTCCTGCAAGGGCCCTCCAGGAAAGCCTGCGGATGTCCACAGAGCCCAGGGGCCCGGGATCCCCCCACAGGACACCCCCAGCCCTGGCCGCCCCAAGCTTTGAGGAGCAGCTTCGCCTGGCCCTGGAGCTGTCCTCCCAGGAACAGGAGGAGCGGGAGCGGCGAGGGCAGCAGGAGGAGGAGGACTTGCAGCGGATCCTGCGGCTCTCGCTCACCGAGCACTGAGCACTGAGCGCCCAGCCCCTGCCAGGGCTGTCCAGGCCACTCCCCACCGCTTTTGTAACTTATTTATTTATAAACTAAACTCTGCTGCTGGGTTTGGGGCCTGGAGCGCTGGGGGTGGGCTTGCGTTGCAGACCAAGATGGAAATAAAGAGAACTTCGGCGGCAGCCTTGCTCTGTTCAATGGGGGCCGGGGGGGGGGCGGGCCGGACTATGGGCGATGGCCTCAGACCTGGGCTCGGGTTTCGTCACGGCCCCCTTAGCCTCTCTGAGCCTCGATTTCCTCAGCTGTAGAATGAGACCACTTTTCAGCTCCCACCCCAGGGCCGCCAGGAGGGTAAAATGAGCGGCATGTGTCAAGTACCCGCACAAACTAGGTGCTCACAATCATCAGCTCCCCTGAGCCCTGTCCACCCCTGCAGACCAGCCCTCCTGCCATTCGGTCCCTTTCCCAGAAGCCACTCGTGCTCCGCGTGAGGGGGACGAGCCTTCAGGCGGGGTCCTGCTCTGGCTGCATACTCCATGGGGTGCTGTAGGCAAGTCACTTCCCCGTCACCCTGCTGGCCGGCCTGCTCACCTCCCAGGTGCCCGGAGCACCCCGTCCGCCTCAGGAGTCAGTTCTAAATCCTTCCTGACTTCCCCCGAAGTTTTGCGTGTCTCCCAGTGGTTCATGCAGAGTCAGCATGAGTCAACCAACGTGGAGAAATACGTTTGGGGCGCCCCCCCCCCAATTTAAGACCCGCTGTGCCTGATCCTCTCTAAGACCTGTGGCCCCAGTCCTGCCTTCCCGGGGAGCCACCTCTGCTCGGTAACACCCTTTGAGGCCCAGAGCAGAGCCCAGGTGACCTAACTGGGCGGGGCAGGGAGGACTGGGCCAGGGGTGCTTCCTGGGAAGAGGGAGGGAACCTCCCGGCCCCTACCCTGCTGGTCGGGGCCTCCCGCACCTGTGCCCCGCCCCGGGCCCCGCCCCTAACGTGCTTGGGGGGCGGGGGCGAGGCGGGCAGAACCCGAAGAGACGGGAGGGGAGGGGCAGCGGCTGCTCGGTGCCAGCTACGCAGGCCCGGCTGGACGGGTATCTGGCCCTTTAAGGGCCGCCCCCGAGGAGGTGCCAGGCCCTGTGGCTCTGGTCTCTCCTTCCTGGTCCAGCTGGGCAGGGACTGTCCGTGTGGCTGTGGGAGGGCTCTGAGCCCAGTGCCGGCCCAGCTGCCCCCGGCCTGACCCCATGGCTCTGGTCACAGTGAGCCGCTCGCCCCCAGCCAGCGGCTACTCCACGCCTGTGGGGCCCACGGTGAGTCTGGCTTTGCTGTGGTCCTGCCCACGTAGTTGGCTGCCAGCTGGGCCCTGGGGAGCTCGTCCTGCCTAGGGCAGCCTCTCTTCAAGGCTGAGGGTGTGGGGAGGGGGACCCCAGGTCTCAGGCTGGAGGGGATTGACGGGGTCTTGAGGCTCCCAGGAACTTCGACCAAGGCAAGATGTGGACCCCTGAGGGCCAGACCAGCCAGTGGAGGCCCTACCAGCTTCGTGGGCCAGATGGGGCCAAACTCTAGCACCCCCTTCATGCTGCCCTACCTGGACCTGGGCCTGGGCTCCCCCAGTGCCTGGGGGGGGGGAGTAGACTGGGGTGGGAAGGGTATCTGACACCTTTTCTGGTCCCACTCCCCACAGGGGGAGGGGACGCAGTTCCCTCTACCCCAGCATCCCCTAACTGCCTTGGGGGCTGCTTTCCCAGCAGGACCAGGCCTCCAAGCTCAGAAGCCGACTCCAGCGAAGGTGAGCACCCCACCCCAACAGACACCTCCATCTAGGGCTGGGGGAACTGATGTTTACGGGCACCCACTCTACATGGGTACTGGCCACTGCCACCCGGAGGGCTCACAGCCAGACAGCTGCTGGGTATGTGGGCAGTGTTGCCCGTGGGCACGGCTGGCTGCCTCTGCTTTCATCTCCCCCGGTCCTCTGGGGTTCCTTCAGCCACTATCCTAGATTTTGGCTCAGGCCAGTGGTCACAAGCCAAAGGGCAGGACGGGACACAAGGCCTGAGGGCTCCTGGGTCCCCATCAAGTTGACAGCATCTTTTGAGTTAGGCAGGTGGGAAGGGAAAGGGAGCAACACCCATTCCCCTCAGACCAGAATAGGTGTTCTGCCCCGGCCGGTTTGGCTCAGCGGTTGGAACGTCGGCCTGCGGACCAGAGAGTGCTGGGTTCGGTTTCCGCTACGGGGCACGTACCAAAAAAAAAAAAAAAAAAAGGGTGGTCTGGGGGTTCAAGAGCCTCCAAGGCAGTGACTTTCAAAGGGTGGTGGCCACAATACCTGGGAACTGCCTGGAAATTCAGTCTCGGGCCTGCACGCTCCAGATCTACGAACTCAATGCAGACAGGGCCCAACGCCTGGTTTAACAGGCCCTCCAGGTGATTCTGATGCAGCCCTGTCCTCAGGGGTGTGACAGGCCATAACGGTTTCCCCGCTGCCCTGCCAGGCAGAGCTTTGCAGTGCTCCATGGGGCTGTCCTGGGGCTGCAGGATGGAGGGGACAGTGGGGATGCAGCTGAGCCCAGCCCTGAGCCAGCGGGGGAACCCTCCAGTGAAGAGCAGCTCGGCGGGGACCAGACAGACAACGGACATGGGCCCCAGAGTCCCCAGAAGCAGGAGCAGAGTCAGCATCTCCACCTCATGGTGGAGCTGCTGAGGCCACAGGATGACATCCGCCTGGTGAGGAGCCCTCCAAAGCCCTTGGAGGGGGAAGAGAGCCACCCCTGGGGTGGGGGGATAGAGAGGGCGGAATGGAGCCACAGTGTGTGTGTCTCTGGGGAACAGTGGTGTGAGGGCAGGGGACATCCTGGGGAGTGAAGGGGTTACCCAAACCCTGACAGCCCTGCTGGAATTCGTTTAACAAGGTAAGGTCCTGTCTTCAGGTCTCTGAAGGGCTGGGAAAGGACAGGGAGGTTTGTTCTGCATGAGCTCGTAGGACCCAATGAGGTCTGAGAACTGGGGTTACATGGGTAGGTTTCTGTGCAACCACAGCAAGACCTTCCTGACTCTGAGTTGCTCATAAGTTGACCGGTGCTCAGGGGCCCTGCTGAGCACCCACCAGGAGCTGGTGTGCCTGTGGAGGGTGAGACACAGGTGGGAGGGGGAGGACCAGTTCCCAGATGCCTGTGGGACATCTCACTGCGGCAAAATGGGAAAAAGAAGGTGCAGTCAGTCTTTCATAAAGCTGAATTCATTCCACGGGAACTCTGTCTTTTACTGTGAGATCACGTCCTTCGTCTTTCTTTGGTGAGAAACATTGCTTCAATGAAATGATGGTGATGGCAAGTGAGAGGGTTTATTTAAACCTCCTTCCTAGGCAAGTATAAAAAATGGGCAATTTTTGTCAGACCCATTCTCCCCTTTTTCCACACACACACACCCTTTAAGGAAAATCTTTTAAAACATTTTGCTGGACTATAAAATCCAAAAGCTGGGAACCACTGGAATGTAACCACTGGTTTGGTGTCTGGGAAGAAGGGGCCGGGCGTGGAGGGAGCAGGCCGCAGGTCTGCGCTAGGCCCAGGTGCGTGTCCAGGAGGGTGGGGGAGCAGGGTCCTCTGGGCCCCTGTGACCTGGGCTTCTCCCCACGTCGTCCGTCTTCCCAGGCAGCCCAGCTGGAGGCAGCACGACCTCCCCGGCTCCGCTACCTGCTGGTCGTTTCCACGAGAGACCATGGGAGCCAGGATGAGAGAGTGCTCCTGGGGGTGGACTTCCCCGACAGCAGGTGGGAGCAGGGAGAGGAGGGGGGGGCAAGAAAGTGAGGTGCGGGGGGACAATGGCTTTCCCTTTGTGTCCTGCCAGCTCCCCCAGTTGCACCCTGGGCCTGGTCTTGCCTCTCTGGAGTGACACCCAGGTGTACCTAGATGGAGACGGGTAAGAGGTGGCAACCGGAGGGAGGGGGAGGAGGCGGAGGGCCATCGGCTGTGATGTGGGAGGAGGGCGGGGCACTCGGGAGCTGAGTTCCAGGCTGGGTCTGGGGCCTGGGCCTACCCTCAGCTCTACCTCAGGTTCACTGTGTGATCCTGGGCAAGTCACCTAACTTTTCTGGGCCTCAGCCTCCCCATATCTGGCAAAAGGGGCTTATTTTGAAGTTCAGATAATGTGTTCCTAGTCTGAGGACCAGCCTCAAGAGGTGTCTAGTGGGTGGGCCTCCAGGGGCTGTCCCAGGGCCTGGAGCGGAGTTCGACCCCGACCTCGCCTCCCTTAGGGGCTTCAGTGTGACGTCCGGTGGGCAGAGCCGAATCTTCAAGCCAGTCTCCATCCAGACCATGTGGTAAGAGCTGGGCGGTCCAACCTCGGCTGGCCTCTCCTCAGAGATGGCCGCAGGGTCCCGGTAGGGGCAGCAGGGAGGACACTGCCACCCAGCCTTCCTTCTGTCCCAGGGCCACGCTCCAGGTGTTGCACCAGGCATGTGAGGCGGCTCTAGGAAGTGGTCTTGTGCCAGGGGGCAGTGCCCTCACCTGGGCCAACCACTACCAGGACAGACTGAGCTCTGACCAGAGCTGTCTCAATGAGTGGATGGCCATGGCCGACCTGGAGTCCCTGCGGCCTCCCAGTGCTGAGCCTGGCCGGTCAGTGCAGGGCGGGGAGGAAAAGGGGGGTGCCAGGGCAGGGCCGGGCAGGGGCCCCTGGGCTGACGGGCTCGGCTCCCAGGCCCCCGGAACAGGAGCAGATGGAGCAGGCGATCCGGGCTGAGCTGTGGACGGTATTAGACACCAGTGACCTGGAGAGCATCACCTCCAAAGAGGTGGGTGGAGTACCGGGGCCAGGCGGAAGCTGGGCCTAGACAGGATGGAGGGACCTGGGTGCCAGGGTTTTCCTCTCCTTGGCCTCTGCTCCTCTGTCTAGATGGGAAGGATGCTGTCCTTAGAACCCTGGGGGGGAGGGCGGGCATCGGGAACCTCTCCTCCCTGCCTGCAGATCCGCCAGGCTCTGGAGCTGCGCCTCGGATGCCCTCTCCAACAGTACCGCGACTTCATCGATAACCAGATGCTGCTGCTTATGGCTCAGCGAGACCGGGCCTCCCGCATCTTCCCCCACCTCTACCTGGTGAGCTGCGGCGTGAGGGGTAGGAGGCGAGGACAGCTGCAGCGGGCCAGAGGGAGAATGATGCTTCTCTCGTCCACAGGG